CAGTATACAACTTTAATCGCAACACTCAGGAGGCAGAGGCAGTTCTTTGTGAGTTAGAGGCCAGCCTGGTCTACAGATTGAGTTCTAGGACAGCCAGGGCTATGTAGAGAGACCCTATCTCAAAAAAAAAAAAATAAAAAGAAAAAGAAAGAAGAAAAAGACTGAAGTACGTTTTATATATATGTGAATGAAACTGTCAAAGAATAATAGAATAACAGTTTTAAAAGTATCAAAGAGAAAAACAAAACAAAACAAAACAATCAGAATATCCAAGTCAGCACTCTGGTGAGAAGAATTAGATATGGCTTTTCTGTACTATTTCACTGGTTGCTCCTCTCTCTCTCTCTCTCTCTCTCTCTCTTTTTTTCATTGTGTTTTGTTTAACACAAGGCCCTGTAGTTCAGGATAACCTCAAATTTGTGACCCTCCTGCCTCCCGATTCTCAATGCTGGGATTACAAGGTATGTGCCACTATGTCTGGCCATTATCATATGCTTTTATTCTTCTCCAAATGAAGCATGTCAGTAAAGCAAGTCGAACCAACTATCCATTAGATGGACACACAGAGAAGAGTTAGTGTTGGCAGTGAGAGAAGAAACTAGATTCCTCCTAGCCTGATGAGGGGAATGAATGCAAAAATGGTATAAGTTGCCTTCCCATGGGAAATGTTTGGGTAGTTCCTCAAAGGCCACATAGAGAGTCATTTCATGATTCAACAACTCCACTCAGAGATATGTAATGAATGAACTGGAAGTCCATCTACAAAAACCTTGCATGCAAATTCTCATAACCCCATTCTTCAAAATATCCAGGAAGGAGAACCAACCAAAACTCCCCCAAGCAATGATGGATCAATAAAACATAGTATGGCTTCACAAAATATATCAGCAATTAAGAGGGTGGAGCTCTGATATATCTAAACACACCAGGTGGGTCTATCTATGGAAGAGATAAACTTTGAAATGCTATCCTAAGTGAAAAAAGCCAAATACTATTTAGACAGGACTGGGGCAGATTAGTGGTTACCAGGGTGGAAGGAAAGAAGCCATGAGGAGAATCTACTACTGGGGACAGTATTCCTTTTGGGGCAAAGAAAATATGCTAGAGCTACAAACTGGAGATGGATGCATAACACTGTGAAAATATTAAAAACACTGAAATTTTCATTGTAATAGGGTGAATTTTATGGTATAGAAATATTTTATTTAAAAATGTGTTATTTGTTTTATGTGGATAGGTGTTTTGTCTGCATGTTATGTATGGTCTGTGTACCATGTATATGCAGCACCTGCAGAGGGCAGAATTATAGAAGGCTGTGAGCAGCCATGTGTGTGGGTGTTGGGAATTGAACCTATGCCCTCTGAAACAGCTGCCAGTACTTGTAACTTCTGAGCCAACTATCCAACCCAATAATTTAAGCATTTTCAAAGCTATGGAAGAACCGAGTGGTGGTGGTTCACACCTTTAATCCCAGCACTGGGGAGGCAGAGGCAGGCAGATCTCTGTGAGTTTGAGACCAGTCTGGTCTACAAGAGCTAGTTCCAGGACAGCCTCCAAAGCCACAGAGACAACCTGTCTTGAAAAACAAAAACAACAAACAAACAAACAAACAAAAAATCAAACAAAAAAACAAAACAAAAAAACAAGCTAAGGAAGAGTAAAAAAAAGGATGGAAGAAGTCTTGTGTTTTATGAACTAGGAGAGTTATTTAACATGGCAATAAATTTTTAGAAAGTAAGAAACGTTAATGTTTTTCTTTTGGTCCAACATTTCGGCTCAGAAGATGGAGAGAAGCCTCAGTGCTATGCTGGTGGCTGGTTGGGAGAGGAGTCTCAGATTTTATTTCAGACTTGGTTGCGTCTTGTGGTTTACTTGGAAGAAAACACTTAAACCCTATTAAGGGCAACCTGGGCAGAATCCAAAGTAGATGCTGGTGTTTTTTATGGATCAGTTCAAGAAAACAAATTAAAACTCATGAGAATTCAGTGTACTTTTGGGGCAGACCTTCTACCTAGGCCATGTAACCCCTGAAGCTAGTCACTAACTCCCAGAGGGGCCGTCATGCTGAGGGCCTGGTAGTTCTGGGAAATAACTTCCTCCACTGGGGAAAAACCTCAGCTTTGCTACCATCCTCCTGCCCAACACGAGCTACTGAGAGGGCTGGAGTATGACTCATGAAATGGCAGGGAATTTTGGCAAACATGCTCAACAAGTTTGTTTTGAAAAGTAAAAATAAAAATTAAATGCAAGGATATTTTAAGGGGAGACTAGTCATGTCTGTGGCTATTTCATGGGTTGAATGAGTCCTCCCCATAACTGTGTCTAAGGTGGAGACTGCCATAGCCCAACAGAGAAAAAAATGCGCTCTTACGGATGGCATTGGGCAGTTGATGTTTTTTTTTTTTTCCCCCCTCCGGAGACAGTGTTTCACTGTGTAATCCTGGCTGTCCTGGAACTCACTCTGTAGACCAGGCTGGCTTGAATTCACAGAGATCCGCCAGCCTTTGCTTCCTGAGTGCTGGGATTAAATGAGTGTGCCATCACCGCATGGCTGATATTGGGTATCTGAGACTGATAGTTCCTAAGAAACATGATTTCTTGGGGTAAATGAGGGTTCTTCAAGAGATGACAAAGAAACAGGCATTTGTGCTTACTGGACCAGTTCAGCTGAGGGATGGAGCTGACTCAATGACTAGCTTTCTGCACGAGGAGCACTCAAGAACATTTCCAGAGAGGGAAAGCAAACCTCACAAAAGCTGTCAGGGAAGAATACAAGAGCAGAGAACACAACCTTGGTTTTAGGAAGCCTCACTCCTCTTAAGGTTAGGAACAGGGCTGCACTTCATGGGTGTAGGTGGTAACCACATCCCAAACTCAAAAGGCTAAGATACCAACAGGAATGCTGCCCGTTCAGATTGCCTTCATAACTTCTATTTCTTACATTAAACCCTTTTTGTTTTCTGTCTTTCTCTATTTCTGCCAGACACCAACAGGAAAGCAGGGGGGACCAGGCAGACTAGCAAAGAAGAGGAAGTGAACCCAGGGTGTGTCTGCAGCTAGCTCCAGGCAGCTTTGGAGTCCATTTTCAAAACATGCCCGGAGTTAAAGCTCATGTGCTTTCTGCCCCGTCTTGTGGATGCCGGATCAACCACACATGGCTTCAAATGGCTACCTCACCTCTCCTCTCATGGCACTTCTGTTGTCTGGCAGAGTTAATCTTTGCTGAGTAAGAGAGGCTGAAGAGCAGATAAGTAATGAGCCTACTGGCCTCAGGGGCAGCTCCCTCTCTTCTTGTCCTCCCCTTCTCCTTCCTCCTTCATTTCAGTTTTTCAGGGATTGAATCCAGGGCCACACCAAGGCAGGCAAGCCCCCTGCCATAGAGCCACATCCCCAAGCCACATTTTTTTTTTCCTGTGTTTTTCAGACACAGGGGCAAGACCTGTCACTGGGTTTGCTCACTTCTGCTCCTGAGACAGGTGGAGACACACTGGCAGTCTCTGGCTTGTTCTTTGTCAATCAGCAATATAGCATAGTAGACACCAGGTCATGACCTAGACATGCTTAGGTTTGTCTAGGGAACATTCAAATCACCAGGGACCTAGGGACCTCTGGGACTCCTATTCTTTCTTGTAGTCATGTGAGTCTTGCTTATGATGTAGCCAGTGCTGTCTCCACTCCTACTCCCAGGAACAGCGACCCACAGATGAAGCCTCATATAATTTTTATCTACAAAGCACAATGCTTTTATGCTGGACAAGCACACTATCCACTAAATAATGACTTCTTATCACTTGTGGGAGCTCAGGAAATGAGCCCTGACACCGTTGTGTGTGCTGACTAGGGCACTTCTGCAGGGAAACCATGACTAGGATGGATGAGAACCATTCAGTCATTTGCACAGTGATAGAGACAGGGTCACCCTGCATCTTGTTGACAAGAAATACTTATAAGAAGCAGGAAAAGCAGCTATTTGTGAGGATCTACTTAGCTCCGATTAATCAATTTGCAAGAGCTTCTCCACTGCCCTTCAGAAAGAAGGGTGGAGAGCAAACATGAGGGCATTCTTCCAAAGCATGTAAAAGATAGGGGAGTGATGGCAGCAGAGGAGAAAGGGAGGAGACTGGAAACACCTGAACAAGTGCATACACATTGCATTCAGCTTGCCTCTACACATTGAGCACTGAAATCCAGGTTAGACGTAAAGGGCTTTCTAAGACTGAAGTGGCTAATTCTGAATCACATTGCAGCATTCTGCTTCCAAGGAAGGAGAAGATAGTCCACTTACTGATACTAGACCATTTCCTATCACCTTTAAACTTGACAGGTGTGCTGGCTGGTCTTATGTCAACTTGACACATACACTAGAGTTACCTGGAAGGAGGGATTTTTTTTTTTTTTTTTGAGACAGGGTCTCTCTGTGTAGTTATGGAGTCTGTCCTGAAACTCAATCTATAGACCAGGTTGGCCTCTAACTCACAGAGATCCACCTGCCTCTACTTCCTGTGTGTTGGGATTAAAAGCGTGCACCACCACTGCCCACTGGAAGGAGGAACTCTAAATTGGGAAAATGCCTCCATAAGATCTGGCTGGAGGCATTTTCATAACTAGTTACTGATGGGGGAAGGTCCAGCCCATTGTGGGTGTGGCCATCCCTGGGCAGGTGGTCTTTGGTTCTATAGGAAAGCAGGCTGACTGAACACGAGGAACAGTGAGCCAGTAAGCTGCACTCCCTCTAAGGCCGCTGCATCAGCTTCTGCCTCCAGGTTCCCGCCCTGTTTGAGTTCCTGCCTTGACTTCCTTTGATGATGAACAGTGATATGGAAGTATAAGCCAAATAAACCCTTTCCTCCCCAACTAGCGTTTTGGTTATGGTGTTTCATCACAGCAACAGTAATCCTAAAATGGCACATAAGAACAATCTGAGGATGAAGTTTGGGGAGAGGGGGAAATTCAGGTAAAGGACCGAGATAGCAGGTCCTTGGACTTATGTGGTTCCCTACCTCCTGGCCCCTGTCCTGCACAGGACACGACTCACTGTCTGCTTCCGAAAATGATCCAGACTCGTCACTGGAATTGGTTCCATAAGACTGCTCACATTTAATTTGGGGTCGGACTTGGTTGTACATTCCATCTCCCATCAGGCCTGGTTCCTGATGTTCTGTGGCAAGGAATCTGGCTCCCTGGGAACAGGGTGAGGAGGAGAACTCACAAAGAGGGAGGCTGCAGGGGGAACCCCCACCCCCATCCTCTGCCTGGGAATAGGAGGAGCAGGAGCTGGAGGTCCTGGTTCTGGTCTCTAGTGGAGGTGAGCGAGGACAGACTTTGATTGGCACCGGGCAGCTGGTGTTGGACCTTATCCTGCCTGGCAAGTGGTCAGCCATCAGTCCAGAGTGG